GGAAAGTTATTACTGGCACAGATGTGGAACCATATGCTATTCAGACAGACTTGGGTTGGAGTATCATTGGTTCAGCGAACCCAGAGACCAGCATCAACGCCAGTCAGTGTGGTAGAGTTGCTACACAAGAGTTGCCTGGAATAACACCCAAGCATGTACTAAAGGCCTTGGAGGCTGATTTCCCTGAGAAACCATGCCAAGACGTATCCCTCACCCAGGAGTACATTGAATTCATCCATCGTCTAGAAGGAGGTATTTCCAAGAACAATTCTGGTCACCTTGAAATGCCACTGCCTTTCAAGACAAAGCCGGAGATACCAAACAACAGGCGTTTGGCAGCAGTGAGACTCGGCCACCTCCAGAGGAAAATGAGCCGGGATGAAAGATACAAGGAACACTACAAGGCCTTCATGAGGGAGGTAATTGACAAAGGGTATGCCGAAAGGGCGACGGGAGAAGGCCCTCCAGATTCAACAAACTACATTCCGCATCATGGTGTTTATCACAACCACAAGAACAAGATCAGAGTAGTTTTCAACTGTTCAGCGAAATTTGTGGGCACCAGTTTGAATGATATTCTCCTGAAAGGCCCCGACCTTACAAATGCCTTGGTGGGAGTCCTGCTAAGATTCAGGTTACATGAAGTGGCTGTTATGTGTGACATAGAAAAAATGTTCTTTCAGTTTCATGTGAGAGAAGATCACCGGGATTACCTGCGCTTCCTGTGGTGGGAAGACAACGACACAACTCGCCAACCAGTTGACTACCGTATGAAAGTGCACCTTTTTGGAGCGGCATCCTCCCCTGGGTGTGCAAACTATGGTCTGAAGCACCTAGCAAAGGAACACAAGGAGGTTTTTCCCTTAGCTTCAAGTTTCATTGTAAGGAACTTCTATGTAGACGACGGTATCACTAGCACACCAACAGCAGAGGAAGCCATCCAGTTGGCCAAAGAAGCTATAGACCTTTGTAAGAAGGGTGGCCTACGCCTCCACAAGTTTGTATCAAACAGCAAGGCTGTCATGGAAGGCATCCCTAAGTCAGAGTGCTCCATTGATGTCACTAGCTTGGACCTAAACTTTGATGAACCAGTGGAAAGAGCACTAGGGATAAGGTGGAACGTCTCATCTAACTATCTCTGCTTCAAAATCTCCCAGAAGAAGCAGCCCAGCTCAAGGCGTGGCATCCTTTCCACAGTAGCATCGTTGCACGACCCGTTGGGTTTTGTGGCTCCCGTGGTACTAAAAGGAAAAGGAATCCTTCAAGAGATGTGCCGCAGTGGGATAGGTTGGGATGATTCGATCCCTCAGATCCTACAGCCTGCATGGGAACGATGGCTTGAAGAGCTGCCACAGTTGGAGAAGCTTCAGATACCGAGATGTTACCATCCCCCTGAATTCGGCCAACCCACTATTGTCCAACTCCATTTCAGTGATGCGAGCACATCAGGCTACGGCCAATGTTCATATGTACGTCTCGTGAACAGGGAAGGAGATGTCCATTGCAGCTTGGTCTTTGCAAAGTCCAGAGTTGCACCATCCAAGGTAGTTACTGTACCAAGATTAGAGTTGACAGCTACGGTGGTGTCGGCAAAGGTGAACACGCTTTTAAAGAATGAGCTGGAGCTGCCAGATGCCGAGGAGTTCCTCTGGACAGATTCACAAGTCGTATTGGGGTACCTTAACAACGAGGCTCGAAGGTTTCATACTTTTGTGGCCAATAGAGTGCAGCTCATCAGAGACAGGACCTCTCCCATTCAGTGGCACTATGTGCCGACAGGTCGTAACCCTGCTGATCATGCGTCAAGAGGACTTCGTGCCGGTGAAGTAGAACAGGCTCGGTGGTTCCAAGGACCAGAGTTTCTCTGGGAGAAAGACCTCAAACTTGGAAATGTTACTCCAGAACTGAAGCTCGGGGATCCCGAGGTTAAGTCATCTGTCCTTGCAGGCAACACCAGTCCCAAGGAATTTGATTTGCTGAAGCGCTTGAAAAGGATCTCAGATTGGTCCATGATGATAAAGGTATTGGTCCGACTCCGACTGGTGGTAAAGGGTAACAGACGAAAGTCAGTGGTGCAAGAGAGGAAGAAAGCAGAGGCCTACATCTTGCAGTTGGTGCAAAGGAGAGCATTCTCTGAAGAGATCAAGACTTTGACTGAGGGCAAGGCGGTGAAGATCACAAGTAGAATCCATGACCTTGATCCATATGTCGATGATGCAGGAACCCTCGGGGTGGGAGGCAGACTTCAACAGCTCCCTGATGACATGGCACACCCAGTCATTCTTCCAAAGGACAGTGCCTTTACACTTGCACTCATTCGACACCTCCATCGACGGGTTCATCACCAAGGAAAGGGTATCGCGCAGAGTGAAGTTCGAGCACGTGGTTACTGGGTTGTGAAAGGGTCCAGAGTCATCGCGCAGTTGGTGAAGAACTGTGTTACTTGTCGACGTCTTCGAAGACCACCTGAGGAGCAGGAGATGGTGGATCTTCCAGCAGACCGCACGAAGCCATCTGCACCCTCCACACATGTAGGTATGGATTGCTTCAGGCCGTTCTGCACCAAGAAGGGTCACTCTGAGGTGAAACGCTATGGTTTGCTCTTCACATGTCTTTGCTCCCGTGGCGTGCATATTGAGATGCTTGACGACATGTCATCGGGTGCATTTATCAATGCATTACGTTGCTTTATTGCCATCAGAGGAGCAGTTCAGCAAATACAATGCGATCAAGGAAGTAACTTCACTGGTGCCGCAAATGAGATTCAAGCAACGCTGAGAGAAATGGTCGCTGCATACCTAGCTGATGAGCAGTGTGAGTTTATCTTCAATGTCCCCCATTCCAGCCACGCAGGTGGGGTGTGGGAAAGATAGATACGGACAGTCCGAAGTGTCTTGAGGGCAACTGTAGACTTGTGTCCAGGAAGGCTCACAGACTCGGCCTTACGTACATTCTTCTACGAGGCCATGGCTATCATCAATAGTCGTCCTTTGTCATTGATCAACCTGAACGACCCGAAGGCCGAACCACTAACGCCAAATCATCTCCTGACGATGAAGAGAATGTCACCATCTCCACCCCCAGGACTGTTCACAAGGACAGATATGTACACCACAAAGGCTTGGAGACGAGTCCAGTATCTCTCAGAACAATTCTGGTCGCGATGGTGCAAGGAGTATTTGCTGGGTTTGCAAGAACGACGCAAATGGTCAAAGCCACGTAGAAACATCAAAACAGGAGATGTGGTCCTCGTTGTCGACGAGGAAGTTCCACGGATGAGGTGGCCTTCAGCAACTGTGATCGAAGTAATGACTGATGTAGATGGCCTGGTCAGAAGGGTACTCATCCGTGTAGGCACCAAGAACAAGAAAGGTTGTCCAGAAAGGAAACTGTCGGAGTACTGGAGACCAGTACAGAAGGTTGTTGTCCTATTAGAGCACTCACCATCAGTAGCCTGAAGGGAAACCACCGTCAGTCAAGACTAGTGGCTGAGATGCTCGTCATGTGTGGTCAGCCCAGCGCGGCAGCTGCCATCAGAGTTCATGCATACAAACGTTTATTGTTGTGTAATGTTTCGCAAATTTGCGTGGTTTGTATAAGTTTGGATGAAAGTTGTACTTTTCGTAAGGTCGTGTTCCTTTCCATGAATGTCAAGATTTGACTGTGGTTATCGACACTGTAATCTTAAATTGTCAGTATTGAGCGTTAAATTCTGGAAATTACTTCGGCTTAAGTTTAACTTTGTTTACACTTTCAGTATAATTGCAAAAGGAAGTAATTTGGTGGGAGTGTAACCGTCGACGCTCCATACTTTATCCCTTTTTAGTAACTTTGGGCATGCCATACTGCGGTCGTAAAGTTCACGATGCAATGTATAACATTTTAGCGGGCCGCCGTCCGTGTGATTGCTAGCATCAGCATACAGACTTTCTGTCCACCTAGCTCTGATCTATTCCCAGAAGGTGATATCTGTATTAACGAATAAGTACATTCTAGATCTGCAGTTTTTGACCATCCATTTTATACTGAAGTAAAGAAGAAATTTTGGGGTCTGTCTTCTATAAACGGCACAGTGTTCTTACGGCATTCGAAGTGGGAACTTCTGCTTTGAACCAGAAGTCAGAAGTAAATAAAACTTGAAAGACATGCCAGTACAAGAACGTGTTGAATGTAATTCCATCAATTGTCGCAGACAGGCACACAGCTCTGTTCATGTCAATGGTTCCCTGCGTTCTTGAAAATTGAATTGAATAGTAACAACGAGCAGTGCGACTATGCCCAGGGCTTGGTTCACCGTGATGGTCCTAATCGTCCATCGTTTAGGCGACTTAGGTCAAACTATAGTCAGTAGCAACCGTCATTCGAGCTTGTCCAGTGTTGCCAAGACAGTGAGGCTGCGTCCGAATCTGCTTCACCACAGGGACCACTGCACTCTGTAATATGAGGGTCTATGGTATACACGTATTATTCAAATATTGACTGCTTACTTATTAGCTGCATCCGACGACACGAGTTCACTGGGCGCAGCCGTTTTGCCTTTTTGCGTCACAAGGCAGAAGCACGCATGCGTTGAACACGCAAGCTGAAAGCAGGTAGCTTTCGTTCACCGCACTCCGGAGACTTTTGCCACGAATGAGCAAAATCTTCGGAAAAATTTACCATGCACTAGAGCTATCTGCTTACACCATTAGTCACGAATGAAATGGAGCGAAGCAGTTAGCTCTAGTATGTGACCGTCTTAAGTACTGTTCTAGACCAATGTCAGTTAATTTGGACGTGCCCTTATAGTCTCCATCATTGGTCTACATGTACTTTGTTGTCATGCAATTACAATGCAAAGCCAGTCATAGGGCAGACTTAGTCAAACAATGTGAAGCATAAACTTGACTCCCAGAGTTACTTTTGTGTCACAGTGTAAATGTCCGTAAATATTTGGCGAAATTGCATTGTTTGTTGTGAAACAGAGCCTCGGATATCATAAGACCTCTCTTCTCTGACAGATTAAATGAACGTGGTGACATCGAGGCCATCTCGATCAGCAATCACACCCGGGACCCCATGCTCCGAGTTCCCGTTGACCAGGTGCTGCCGTTTTACTGCGCCCTTGATAAATACTGCCAGATGCTCCAGCAACCGGAAAATGTACTTAAGTACAAAATGCAGAAAGGTACAGACTTGCCTATATTTAAAGATCAATCACATTGCTTTTATGGAAAAACGTTATTAAACAGGGAACTGGTCATTATTATCTATTTAATGACTAATGCGGCAGCTGTTCTTTGTATTTGTAACAAAAATAGTCTTTTGAGAGTTCAGTGCCACCGCGAGAATGCTGAGAGTAAAAAAAAAATGCGTCGATGATGGCAGCAAACAAATTTACTGATTTGATGATGTCATAATACGGCTCTCGTTCCCCAGAGTTTCTTGACCTTGCGGCCGTAAAAGGGGACTTTCCAGCAAATCGTTGGATTTCTGCGCGCAAGCTGATAGATATTTTGTGATCCCACAGGGTTTTTACAATAAGACATGCCATAATCAGGAGGGATCATGGAGGTATTTCTATCATGAATTTGGGACTGGTAGTTTCCAGTTCAGGGTATTTCTTTCACAAAAAGCCCCAACCCGTGGCCCTATTGTGGATAGAGGCGGGTGGCTACATTCAGAGCTGAGTGCATCGTTTTACTATTAATTTGGGGGTATCTTCGGGGAAAGGCGAATAAAAAGTCGCGTGGCTGATCCCGATAAAAATGAAACAAAAAGTGAACTTGTGGCCATAATCTTGAATTTCAAGTGAAAAAACCAGAGGCCAACTTCTTCCCGAGAGTCAACAGGCGGCGCTATTTCTATATGCACTGTTTTCTTTTGGCGCGTATTTGGTGCTTGGCAACCACAGATCAAGAACTGACAAAAATGGGTCAAGTAAGTTAGATGTCATTCTCGGCAAATGACCGTGGCATCTGCTGAAATTCATCAGGACCTTACTCTAGCTCAAATTGGGAAGGTTCAACTTTATCATGCGATCCACAGCTGATCAACTATGTCGATGTAGTTGGTGTTCTTGTTTAGTTTTAATGACGTTTTTAGCTAAGGGCTAGCAAGCACAGCATTCATGCACGCGGGCGCGTTCGCCTGAAATAATGAAACAGTCCTTTAATACAGGTATTTCACAATAGTGCGCTTCCAAGAGTTCAACGCGTTGGCCAATCACAATGCATGATATCTGTCAACCCAACGTTGTGCGTTTGGAAATGGTCGACAAATTTCCGTGTTGTGAAGCGGTGCGCCTCGCACCGCACAAGGGATTCCTCTCTTTGGAAACTCTAAAAAGCTGTGCATTAATTTATCCAAAGTAGGCCTAAACCCCAAACAGCAAAAGCTGAAGCTTTTCATCTGTGTTCTACACTTAAAAATGAAAAGTTCAAAATATCAAAGACCAAATTAACTAAAAGGGGGAAACGAGTTTAAAAAGACTCTTATTGACAAATAGGCTTCTCACGACGTGAAGGCAGAGATAACGAAACAAAAAGTAGGGCAAAAAGAACATTAGAAAGCATTATATGCCTCAAGATTTAATTGTGCAAATAAGTCTTACACGCCAAAAGTAAATCATCTACTTTGTAACTTGTAAGGCAAGTCATCAAGCATGCCACCCTTCATACGAATTTGGGGAAGTTCGGGGTCAAAAAGTTTTATCGATCACCGTTAGATCCAAAACAGAAAACTTCAAGAGCTTCTTCAGGGAACAAATAATTGCTGCTCTGTACTACACCATCAACCAGTTATTGCTGAAACTTAGTGGAAAGTATTGTCATTATCGTCTGCATGATGTCGATGCAACAACATCCCCATGACAATGTCTTGTCCAGTTAATGTTTCAGGGACAAAGAAATAACAAGACTTCTTTTCACACGAAAGTGCATTCAAGCAGACTTATACATCTTTGCATTGACTGAAGACTACTTCGTAGTCTACTGCGTGTTAGATATCAAGGAAACTGGTCTTAACCATAATTAAATTTCTTCTGAGGGCCTATTAAACCTGTCAAAGACCTCAGGTAAATGGACTAGTCATGTCAGTGGCTAGGTGTGATGAACAATGCTTTCCTGGCAAATACCTAAGACTGAAAGCGATAACATTGTCTCCTTTCCTTTTTATATCTTATCCGGTGTTCCCAGGAGATATCCTGACGTTCAACAACAAGCGGATGTTGCACGGTCGCAGTTCCTTCCAGATGACTGAGAACGATAACCGCTACCTTGAATTAGGCTATCTTGAATGGGATGAGATCTATTCTCGCCTGCGCGTCCTCGCAATGCAATTTGCAGATCATACAAAAGAGTAACACAGCTCGTCTTAAGGAAAAACACTGCTTTTACGTATGAAATTCCGCAAAGGAACGGGAATTGTCAAATTTAAGAAACAGCAGTAAAATATAAAGTCAAAAGAAATTAGCAGTCCAGTTGAATATCTCATCGCTACACTTCGTTTCTTGTCTACAAGGGAACTACATGTATTTTACTTATAAAACTAAAGAACACTAGACAAGATGTACGGGTTTAGCTACAAACACGAAGTGACCGGGCAATGTCGATTCATAATCACAACTTTGCTAGACACATATGTGTCACATCACCAATGCCAAAAACGCTTTCACTCTGCAAGAGCTGCTATAAACGGTCTGAGTCCCCGCCTCATGAGCTAGCAGGATCAATTTCACTTACAACGCATACAACAACAACATACAGCCATGTCAAACAGTGGGACAGCTAATAATTTCAGCCTTCGTAACAAGTTGCAACATTTGAATTCATCTGGAAGAAATTCTCAAGCATGGATCTTGTCACCAGTTTTACTGGACTCTTGCAAAAACAATACGGCGACACACCAATTTAAAATATGTACAAAATATAAACCTAATTTTATTCAAAGTTACTATACACAATATGGATTTATCTAAAAATATATTTCAAATAGTTCAATGCACGGTACCTGACCTGTGAGTATTTAAATATTAGTGAATCACTTCTTGCTAATTACAAATCCGAAAGGTTAAAACTGACCAGTTTCTATTGTATACTATTCAACTCCTCCAATCAATGGAAGATGCTCAATTCAATCAATATCAGCAATTCAAATCCATTAATTCACATCATATACAGTTGTCAGCAACATGTTTAACTTTCCTTAATTTCCAAATCAATCTAAAATTCTGATCAACAGGTCAATCCTCTAATTCAGCATTCTATCAATTAACCTTTTCAATACTTAATTTAGTCGTACGTGACAGCACGAAAGTCAAAGTTGCATGAAAGTAGAATATTCCCAATTTCCAAGCAAAATGAAACCTTTCATGAATTTAACGACCAATACCCAAATCGTGTCACCATATCACTCGTAAATTATACAACAAAGTGAAACAGTACATCAATCAGTAAACGGCACATTTAAAGACGTGCGACAGTGCAAACAAGTGCACAAAATATCAAGAACCGAGTACTACACATTTTGTATGGAAATCACCAACTCAGTGAAATTATCAAAAATTATTAGGAAGTTAATACAATAATTTATGGGAGATTAGGATGCTTTGTCACAGCTGTGGCGAATTCCACCAACACCCGTCGTCCAAGTCACAGAAGCAAAGACTGTCATAGGACAGGACGACGCTGCACAGAACCATCAGGCTCCAGGAAGGACTGCAGGTTGTGGAACAGGTTGCACTCAGAATGTGGGACAGTAACTGTGGAACTACTCTCAGGCCTCACAAGCACAGAATGTCACTTACGACTGCTGTTGTCAAGCCGACCTATGCTTGTCCGAGCCACGCCCAAGACTTCACAGAGCCGAAATCTTTGATACCGTTGATCACGAATTGTTACTTTTTAAATTAGAGCAGTATGGTGTGTCCGACACTGCACTCAAATGGTTTAAACACTACATCTCTAATAGAAAACAAGTGGTCAGACGCAATGGCGAAACTTTTGTCCTAATGACATTTCCATTGGCGTACATCAAGGTCGAGTTCGGGCGCCGTGTTCTTGACACGGGTTTCTTGTTGTCGCACTCGAACGGCGGGAACACAACTCAAGAACACTGTTCTCGGAACAGGATCACACAACACCTCCTCATCAGGGTTTTACAGGAACACACTGAAAAAATTGTGAGATTTTGATTTTTGAACAGTTGCAAAAAATAGAGAGATGGTTTACAAAGTTGGAGACAATAGGAAGTTTTACAAAATTAAGGTTTATTATTTTTTACAACACAGAAGTGAATGTTCCTGTTTAAATAGAAAAGAATTCAGCCCAGTTGTCCAAGCATTAATTCTCGAATAGTTTACTACGACATAGACGCCGCCATGTTGCTTGTCACTAACTCCCACGATAACCAATTTGTACGTTCCCGGCGTTCGAGCGGCCGACCCAAGAACGACAAATCAGAATACTCAACTTGAACAGGTTGACAGAGTAAAGAATTTAGGGATTGAAGTTGATGAAAACCTCACCGGGGAATTTCATATTAGGAATGTCTGTAAGCCGTGGTAGTCAGACTTTCTCAAGTCTGGGGTTCTGTCAGGTTTCCACACCACGCACTTTCTCACAAACCCCCGAGTGTTCTTACCCATTCAACATAGTCCCGACATTGTATTTAAATTGTTGTATTTTCTGTGTACAGTCGCCCAAGTGGTTGTTCATGGCAATAATCATAAATTAATCGTATCCTTATCAATATTAGTCTACAACAACAGGTTTTAGTCCGTTAGTTCGTACCAGACATGAACGTATTCTTGTACGTGCTTCGCAGTGGCGTATGTGACAATCTGCCTCTCTCTCTAGCAAGAGTTTGTTCTGTCAGGACGAAAGTTCACTCTAGTCATAAACTTTTGCAACTTTAGTATTCGTTTATCGTTATCCACGGTTCTGGCCTGTTTGCATTGACATATTTGTCTCGTAGTACGCGTGGGCCAAGTGTGGGCTCCAAGTCATGTCAAAAAATCGTCATTTGGACTGATTTTGTTTGTCGCGTTGTTGTGAAAGTTTTGGAAAGTTTGGTCATGTGACTTGTACCCATGCGCAAAGCATAACGACTGTTTCATGTTGCACTCACGACTATTACATGACCTTGAATTGTTCCTTGTGGGGTTTTTACACAGCTGAACTCTGTAGAGAGAGCAGGTTGCACAGCGTCCTTTTATCCTTTTGTCTTTTAATATTTTAGTCTTATTCCTTTGCCCATTGGCTCTGACATATCTTATGACTTATACGTTTTACTCTTGCAATTATCACAGCATAAGCTCCTTTCTCCATCACTGGTCAATCAATCTATACCAATTATTTTATCATTGACAAACTCTATTTATTAGTGTCCACAATTGTGTAAACTTCCTCAGTCTTATTATTAACACACATTAACACGTTGAAGAACAACATTTAGATAAAGGGTGAAGCATAGATTTGCTTTTGTACCTTAATCTATTGACAGACATACATATTATAACATAGGACAATACAAGACATGAACATGTTTTGGGCAATGATACACATACGGACAAACACTGACAGGCGGGAGATAATACAATGCATCAACATACATTTCTAGTCGGTACAGGTGATGTATTCAGAAATTATTAGATTTTTCAACTTTAGAGCAAATGTTGATAAAGTGGCTGCTGCTTTTATAATTTCATTTAGGCTATTCCAGTATTGGACACCGCATTGTACAAGACTATCTTTGTGTAATGAAGTTCTATTGGCATCAACATATAAGTGCTTTTGAGAGGTACTTCTGGTACGATATTAGTGAACATTTGAGGTAAGTTTAAAGTATGATTTAAAATATAGTGGCAGCTTATAATTCATACATTTATACATGAATTTACCTACTGATATTTATAAAGGTCAAATACCTTTAGCACTTTATGTTTAGAGAACAATGGGGTCGTGTGGTCGTAATATCCAGCATGAGAAATTATTCGGACAGCACGTTTCTGTAAGTTGTAAAATTGGTCACAATTAGATAAAGGACCTCCTCATGTCAAAATACAATAATTCAAATACGGTAGCACAAAAGAATTATACAGAGTTATACAGAGACTTTAAACGGTTCATTATACCAATACCTTTTGATACTTTACTCGAGACTACACTTATATGACTCCTCCAAGATTAGTTCTCATTTATATCTATACCAAAAAATGTTGTACTTGTTACTTTATTCAACGTTTTGCCATTTCATACCAAAGGGAAAGTTTGAATGTAATTTTGTTGTTTAGTACAAAATATCATATAATTAGATTTGACTAGATTGATACACAATCTTAATATTGGGGCAGTCCTTAATTTCTCAACTTGATTTCAAATAGCAATAAATAAACTCTAATATACAGTGAGAATAATTCCTTGTGCCAATTTTTGATCTTTATTTGGAGTATCTTAATCACCGGAGCGATATACCCTTAACTTAAAATTTAGGCGTACCCCACCACCTGTGGGGTATCACCATCCCACGTATGAACGAGACAGCTGCTTAAGATTCATTTCCTTGGTCGACTAAGACAAGTCATTAACAATGGTCTTCTTAATATCTTGTACAAATAACCATTCAGCCATGTCTGGAATATGCCAGTTCTGTGTGGGGCAACTGCTCAATGACTTACAGGAAGACTCTTTTTAGGCTACAAAAAACAGCAGCCAGAATTGTTGCTAATAACTTTGATTATATTAATTCTAATGGTGAGGACCAAGTGCCTTTAAGCCTGGTGTGAACTTACACTTTGCCATGAAGGTCTTGTTCTTATTCATCAAACATGGCAATCGGAGAGACATCTCTTACAATAATGCAAATGGTTACCTTCGTACAGACAAATTAAATCTGTTATCGATAACCAGCAGTGGACGGCTACACTCTAGGTCCTGACTCCAAAATAGTCGAATCAAAGTCTAAACCATTCATCGCTCGGGCGATGTTGATCAAACTGTAGTAAACCATGGTAGTCACTTGAATTTCCCATATGTACAGTTTTTTGGTCTGGGAATCAGACTACAGAGGGATTTGACATTAGCGCCGTCTGCGCATGTCCGCATCGAAACCGAGGCTCTCTGTGTTGAACTTCGTTGCGCGCGCCCGCGGAGTCGACACAGTACATGCAGTATCCCGTTCGTAAGTGTGACACCACTTCAGTTTTAACCACGCCCACTGCACAAGATACATGACCATCGCAGGTAGTTTAAGTTCGCGGTAAATTGTCGTTTTTTTCCTCTTGATATTACGTGTCGAGTTATCCTGAAAGACTCTTCCACAAAAATTTGCAGCCTGAAAAGTCTGAATTTAACATACTTTTATGTAGGCCTATTTGTTTCTTGACTCCTTACTTTCAATCGTCTGATCGTATTAAGAATTGACATTGACACATACAGCCTCGTTTTCAAACGCAGAAGTGCGCAGATCGACGCTAAAAGCGTCGTATTGGGATCCCTCTATTTTGTTAGGGCGTGCGGGCAACTCGCCCTCTACAGCTAGCCCAAGCAAACTTTGCACGAACGGTGTGAGTATTACGTCTTTTGTAACGTTGTGTAATTTTAAGATTTTAGTCCTTTTTGCAGTGCGAATTGTTTGTTTATAGCAGCTTCCCTTTGAGTTCATTCCTTGTGAACATTGCAGTTGCGATTCATGGCGGATCGCAGGCTTATAGGCTGGCTTGTTGGTTTCATGGGGGACGGAGTAGACGCCATTAGTAGAAACAGCATAAAGAAAAACGTGTGTCAAAGTAATGGTGCCCTTCAGCCTGGCTAACAAACTACAAAAGAGGCCGTTACTGTATGCAAAACACTTCCCAATTGGAACTGGAGTCAGGGAACCGGCCGGGATTGTGACTGGTATTTGTTTGTACGACTTTTACTTGTGCCGATGGACTAGTCCATGTCCTTATCCATCCACCTGTAGCCCATCCATTTTGTCTGGATGACGTAAGCTTACCGGATCTTCGCACTTGGTCTGTACAGCCATTGGTATTCACGGGGGGTGTTTTAAATTATTTTTAGAAGTAGTATTCAGATTAGTTGGTTCTTGAATAGTTCCTTGAGATTTTTAAACACTTTGTGAATTATTCTTTTGATTTTGTAAGGGCGGCCAGCCCGTGGTAAGTCAACTAGTGGCACAGACACAAACTACGACCGCATATCCCGACGTCATGTCCCTCTTTTGTGGTTAAATATCAGACCAATCTTACTTTGTCCCTCCACCGCTGAATTTTCAAACACTAATCTGTTAACACATCTTACTTCGTGACCTCGTGATGAACTGTCGCGGTTCATATTCAGTGAGCGGTATCTAGTTCCGAGCCCACTGCAGTTCCAGTAGGATAGTGATTCACTGACTATTCGGGGATTTTACTCAGTGCCAAGAATTTCCTAGCTCGTAAAGCCAGCATGACCATCTAATGTATAACTTGGCGGTTGTCCTTTTGTTATGCAACCGAACACTCATCAGCGGACAGTCAGACATCAGACTCTATGGTGATGGGCCCGGTTTGTATTGCACAACTGACTTGTGTACTTTACATGCATTTTGGATTTTTTTTTTCAGCCAAACCAAGATGGCCTCCACATTTGTAGGCGGGACTTTGGCTCGGTTTTTCTCGCGAGTGCAGATCAAACATAGACGTGTCTTTTCCATGTTTGATCTCACGCGGAGTACACTGCCCAAGGAAAACGCCGGCCAGCCTCCGTTCTTTTGTCACTCTTTTTACCAGCAGGAGACTTTGTCGAAGGCTTCTGCCAAGCTTTACTGCACACAGTCATCACAATTCTTCACTGTTCCACCGCAGCCACTAACCTGTGAGGCGGCACCAGCTGACCCTGGCAAGAATGGCTGCAAGATACTAACCAACGTGGAGGTGGACACCAAGAAGAAGCAACTCCTTGTTTCCTGGGAAGGTGGTGCTGAGAGTCAGACCTTTCCATTCGTCTGGCTGCGAGACCATTGCCACTGTCCAGAATGTTTCCATCCAGCTGCCCTGTCCCGTTTGCCCAGCGCGCAGGTAGTCAACGCTGACGTAGCCGCCGAATCCGCTGAAATATCTGCCGACGGGAGGAAGCTAAGTGTCCAATGGGATGACGACCACCAGAGCCAATTTTCAACGGATTGGCTGAGGTTCTATCGCTTTGAAGAGTCTGGGGACGACCAGCTGCTCGATCCCAAGTTAAGTTTCTGGGGCGCTAGCGCCACACCACATTTCTCAGATTTTGGTGAGTTGCTTGCAGACGACCGGGCCCTCTACGTGTGGCTGGTGGAGCTGGTAATTCGTGGGATGGCTGTAGTAAGAGAAAGTCCAGCTGAGGTTGGTCAGTTGCAAAAGCTTGCCAAACGAGTGGCTTATCTTCAACCAACATGTTTCGGGTTCGTGCCAGATTTGTCAAATAGTCTTCTTGCCATACATAGGTAGAGGACCAGATTGTTACCATATAGGACTTAAGGTCGACAACATTGTGTTTTTTACTAAGCCATTGTAAACGTAAGGATCCATTCACGCAGACGAAGTTTAGTTACATTTCTGTCCCTTGTGTAACCCAACTGTGTAATACGCTTAGCCACTCAAAAAACAGTCAAATCTGCAAACAAAATTCCTATAATTCACTACAACCTCTCAGTGAATCAATATTCACCGCTACAGATTATTAGCGTTTTCACCTTTGTGGTATTATCTCGTTCAACAAGAAAAATACATGCGTTTGAAAATTTTTACCTAAATATATAAAAGGTATTACAGATGAATGTTGCTAGGTGCAGTGTTTTCCTCTGCAGAAATACTTTTCAGGTCAAGAATAAATATGGTACAACCAACATCGGATACACAACTGGTGCTTTAAAGTTGCACAACGACTTGACGTACTACTTGCGGCAACCCGGGGTAAGAGTTGCACGTATACGTTTCGTGTGGGGGAGCTCAGAATACAGTTAGTACAATCAATATTCATGTAACTGTTGTCCCATTTAAGCCAGTGGCAAATGAACAGATAGAAATGTGACATTACTCTTTATTCCTTTCAAACTCCACGGACACAGTCGTCAAATTCTTAATTTAATATTACTGTATTATAGTGTGTAATATTGATGTAATTTTTATTAGAATAATCACAAATCGTTGACACGTTACATGTAGATGTAAGCTTGAAATCAGTTCAACATTTAAACCATACGTGTACATGTGCCTGTTTTGCTTGAAACAGTGCAGTATCTAAAACTAATGCCACACCATCAATTGAACTTTGAACACAAACACACAGTCAGCCAAAAAGGAACCAACATTAAAGTTCGCAGTTGGAATGGGTAAAATAGGAAGCGAATCAATATTAAGGTCACCGAACATCACCGGTACAGCGAAGGTGTGCTCAAATTTCGCGAAATCTCAGGACGAATGTTTGATTGGATGTTACAATTTAACGTTCACTTTCGCTATAAGTATGATTTTGCCCTTAATTGGACGATATCTAAAAGTCAAGATAAGCGAGAAAAGGGCAAGCATACCAGGAAAAACGTGTTCGACGATTAAATGAAAGTACAGTTTGACATCTGGCTAAAGGAATAGACCTTATTCACGGGGAAGCTATTTTCAATAAGCCATTTGCGACATTTGGTACACTGAGTTATTTGATTGCACATAAACGTAACAATTTGAATTGTTGTTATACATCATGATTCGGGCAAGCTTTTGCATAGCGACCATTTCTGGAATGGACTGGTTCCTTTGTGTCCTTCTTTCCATTAACGAACAGTCGTTGTTGCAAGGTGTCTCTTAAGTAAATAAGCAAAATCTTGCCCCGTATCACGAGGTATAAAAACAGTGTTTTTAGTGTGGAGAATTCAAATTCTTGTCTTCACGTGAATGTAAAGAACGCAGTGTACCAGATTTTATTCAAATTTGTATTCCCTTAATCTATCATATTCAACTTAATTCTATAAAAAGGATGGTGCCAGACTATTTAGGGTTTCAAGCCTCTTTTTCATTTTCATAGGTGGCTCAGAACATTTAGACACATTTTATCACAAATTTTAGATTATTTGACAGTAAATGAATATTAAGTTGTAATAGACACTGTCCTGATTTTTAAACTCATATTCCTGAAATGAAAAGTTGACCTTGCTTTCAGTTCAAAATGGCAGACTCGTGAATACTGTCTATGCAATAGGTGACTGCATGCGCATTCGATAAAGTCAGCAATTCATTTGTTTATGTATAATGTTGCAACAAAAAGATTGGGCTATTCTGACACCACTCTGCCCTACAAACATACAGGGTGGCATTACTTTGAACTTACGAGACTTTGTTGGAGCAGAAGGAAACTGCTGAAAAATTCAGCAGTGAAGTTACGGGCGTTGGATGCACGAAGGTTTGAATTTGAAATCTGGAAGGGCGAATGAATTCAGACTAGTGTGCCTATATCTATGTTGTGCCCATTGAATTGCGTGGCAATGCTGCCAGATTTAAAGGGTGCCCATCTCTTTTTCGGCAAAATATAGGCGCTTTTGTGCAGTAGCTGCTAGTACATGTGTTGTAAGTTAAAAAGATACATGTACTCGGAGCAGTTGTGTTTTATTTGGTAGATCATAATGCTGCACTGCATCGAGCAGGCCGAAGGGGAAGGAGGCGAAAACCTCATTTCGGACGGCTTCAAGGTCGCCATGGATCTGAAGGAAATTGACCCGGAAGCATTTCGTCTCCTGACGACCTACTCGTTTGAATATTCGGACAAGGGAATAGACTGCTTTGGACGTTATTACACGCACACCAGGCGTCCAGTTATCAAGTGGGTGTTCTCTTCTTACTTTCAGATGATAAAATGTACGTCGAGAGATAAGCCTCCACCGCAAACCTGAGGAAAACATGACAAGGTTTTGCTTGTTCGGCTTGTCCTTTTGTTCAAAAGTTCCCTTGCTACAACGGGATTGTTCTTGCACTGTCTTGTTCCTTCAATCATAGCGTATGTGCCATCCCTCGATGCTGGTGGCACTCACACAAATGCTGCTTAGTACGAGTGGCCTGTGGTCTTTGGTCGTTTTGCTGGCACGGGGACCGTGGCATAACCGTGCAAAGGCTATCGGAGATTCCGTTCCCGTACAGACCCGCCTTCTCGGACAGTATATTCGGAATGACTGACCGCCCGGCCCAGATATCCTGTCACCCTCTTTCCGATACTTTTTCCGGGAGACAGAACAGGTAGTTGATAATTCGTCCTTCTTTTGGTAAATACTGCCCAGGTTTTTGTTTTGTATCTTTTTTTCTTTACAGTGCGTGCAGGACAATGTCATAACGCCAAAATTATCATTCAGTTTGCCCGGTCAAAATCTGGACCATTGATGTAGACTTTTTGACATTCAATAGCCTTTCAGTGATCTATACTTATGGTAATGCATGGGGGCCTAGGAGATCTCAATGGGCTTCTCCTCTTTGGCAGGTTAAACGAACGTGGCAACATCGAGACAATTGCCATCAGTAATCACAGCCGGGACCCCATGCTCCGAGTTCCCGTTGACCAGGTGCTGCCTATTTACCGCGCCCTTGAGAAATACTTCAAAATGCTCCAACAACCAGAAAATATGTTCAAGTACAAAATGAAGAAAGGTATAGAATGCACTATAATCAAATGATAGACGATTAAATGTTTACTCATACGGCAGTGGCGTATTATGAGAACGGGTAAGGCTTGCTGTTTGGATCGTGTGAATCGGAGTGGCTAACGTAGCCTTGGTTCCCTCTTTACAATTCCACAAAGTGCCCCTCCCCATGACGGACGTAGAATAAACTATTCTTTTCTTTCTCGCGCATATAGGAGATATCCTGTCACTTAACAACTGGCGAGTTTTACATGGCCGCAGCTCCTTTCAGTTGACTGAGGCTGGTGGTCGCCATGTTGAAGGAGGCTATCTGGATTGGGATGAGGTTAATTCTCGACTGCGTGTCCTCACAATTCAGTTTGGAAATAAGAGCGGTTAAGGACACCACAATAACTCAACTGAAACCAGTGACTAGTTGTCTTGATTTCTATTACATGCAACTATTAAGTTACGTGTACTCATGAATACTGGAGAATCGGTTTATAGAATTACACCACCAGATGCAAGTTCTGAAGAGTTTGACCAGAGAACAGTTATTTACTGATGGTCCAGATGGAAATTAACGATCAGGTCAATTTTTTGTTGCTTTTGCTTTAAGGAGTTGTTCCCATTTCGCTTCCTCATTTCACGTAGCTTAAAGTAGCTATATTGCACAAACAAATGTACCCATCAGAAACGTTAGTGTATTGGCAGGTATTTTATTATGTGGAAATTAATGAACATGTTAAGACGGTTTGATCTTTCTGATTGGTCCTGCGCCTGTGGTTTAAAGGTTCTATACTATTCGACTTTTAATACGACTCTTCATGTGCACATTTGTGTCCTAATAACGTTATGATATGTTTTTGCTTGGTCATTTTTGCGTCTTTTGGTTTCTAATGCAGTGCCATTTACATATTCATGAGTAAACCTGTGATGTGAGAAAACCTAATGTTAGGCCTACATTGGTTTGTGCCAAAATTGGTAGAACTTTATTTTACAGTCCAGTATTTCCTTTTCTTTGGTGATTCATTGTAGATTAATAACTTGAATATTAACGAAAGAGTGATCCTTTATCAGAAAGATTTCCATCGAGCAGATTCTGGGATCGAATTCGGACCAGAGAAGGTCTACGCTGATCACTGTTTTCTCTGAATGACATCACAGCAGCAGTGCCCTCTATTGTTCACTGCAGCATGAACCCATTAAGAACTGGACCAGGCAGACTTGATTTTTTTCCATAAAATTTACGAAGTACGTGCTTATTAAGTCAACGTTGAATATTCATACCAGGCTTGTACAGGAAATATTCTTAGAGAAAATATAGTTTTAAAAGACTGTGTTATGTAATCAGGTCCTGTCTTTAACATTCTTTAAGTGCCTATATTCGCCAACGTCACTTCCTGCCGAGGTCAAAGCAACTTTCTTAGCACTGGCTCACGCCGCATGCATAGCAACCGGATCCTTCCTGTACTTAAAGTGTGGGACGAAACAGTCAATATTTAACGTAAAAATTCAACCATTCAGACTAACATTTTGAAGGGACACATGGGCGGCTGCTATGCAGCAGGATGTAATCACACAAGTGAGAGCCATCGTTGCAAGTTCTTTCGCTTCGCGGCTTCACATTTGACAGAATTCCGAACATGGGTTTCGATGAGCAAGTATGAGGATCATCATTGCTTTGTATTTAAAATCCGTAAATACGAACTCAATAAAACTAGCCGATTTTCAAGGGCATGAAAGTAAGGTTTCACACATTTCTTATGCCTGAGGCGAAAATTCATCGTAGATAAGATGTTATTCTTCGAAATTAGAGAGGATTTAGTTATTAAATATGATTATTTACTTGTAATTTTGGCCCAGAAAATAGGCAATGCTCATCCTCTACCAGTCAGTGCATTCAATATTAGCCGCCATGATTGCCAGTGATCATGTATGACCACCGTGAGAGCTTTCCGAATAGATGTGCTAGCGTACGCATGATCGGTCAAGATCAAGTGAAACTGGCGAGTCACAGCGGCCGTTTAATCATGCAGCGGAAAAACTCGCATCACGATACCGTACCATGGACGTATATAAAAAAATTGGACTCGCAGTCCCCTTAATCAGCTTATTGAGATCATTGAATTCACTAGCAGTCATTTTACCAATCCGAATACAAAGCTTGCCTGGCAATGCCCGTCTTTTTTCTCCCTGGCGTCAATAGAAGCGAGCCAACTCGCGCATTTGTATTCAGCTCGGTAAAATAGCCGTGTACCATACATTCAAACAGCCATGATGGCTCTGTGTGAAAAAGCATACACATATGCAGCAAGGTATGAGACTG